ATATTCGATAAACAATAAATGGGTATATTCTTCTTAGCATTTATTCAACACAACCCGTCGACGGCTAACTTCAAATAAACAGAAAGCCTGAATTAATTAAACCAATAAGGAATAAGACCTTTTTATTATCTATTCACATAAGGCGAATGTCATAACTATTAGAACGCATGTTCGAAATCTGGTTGCAAACGATATTTGCAGTTTTATTTTTACTCCCTGATTCGCCAACTTCCATTACAAAATATTTTTAATATCCAGTCTATCGGTCAATGAGACATTTTTGTTGGTTTAATTCTAAAACAAAGCTTTCCAGTACGCTTTGTTTTATCTGAATAGAGATTTGAGCACCAGAGTGGCCGACTTCTTACTAATTCCCAGACTATATGGGAGTAAGACCCGTAACCTCAGCCAAATTCCCACCCAAAACACAATAGTGGCTACATATGTTGTGCAATACAATATATGGATACTCAGCTGTAAAAACCCATTTTCATCGCGGTTTTCATGAGTTATGACGATAGAAATAGCCGAAGAAGATTCAATGAAGCTTACTTCTCGCTATAAGGTGGCTAAGTGCCGGAAGTGTACGCCAAAAGGAACACTTCCACTATTTTGTGCAAGAGGAACACCATCTTTTCACCCCCAAAGTTCTGCATCTTCTTGGACGAGCACTATTGAGGATTGAGTTTTTTAAGCAATAGCTTAACAGATTATTTCTAACCTGGATACAGGAAACCCTAACACTTCTCTGTAGCCCACCAAATTTCCTGAATTTTGTTTCATTGACTCGCAAATTTGGTGTTAAATGATTTATGGATTTTTCTTTACACTGTGCCGACAGACACTGTACGTTGTATTTCAATTTTTTGTACTTTTAAGTTTTTTTTTTTAGAAGTAGCCAACAAGTGTATATTCTATAAACTTCTCAGCAATTTTTTTATCACGAACTAAAACATATTTTATCTAACTTCTCTGATTTTCAAAAAATATCACTGAGATTTGTTGAATATTTTACCCAGATTTGAAATTATTTTCCAATAATTCCCACACAGATAGTTTCCACCTCTAGTTTCTCATAGTGCCATCTGAAAGAGAACGTTTCATGATGCCATCTCTATAGATTTTGCATAAAATATTCTTTCACAACACAATGCATTATGCTATAAGTGTGGTCTCACCACTGACGCAGAAATAAATGCGGTTTGAATTTTAAGGTTACCTTTCACGTGCTGAGAAGAGTTGAATGGATAAAATGAACTTATTTAGAATTGAATTAGAGCATATACATTTTAGAATGGGATTTTGCGTAAGGGTGTTTTTCTTTTATTCTCAAATTCTATCATCTTTGGTTTTAGCTTCTATTTTAAAATGATTTTTTTTCTACAATTGCATCACATTCACCTAATGCGTGTTGTTGAATACGGTCAAGCGAGAACTTTCGATATAAGATCTATGTTGTCGTATTCGTACTGCCTACCTAAAGTTGTGCTCTTGGAACACGACATTTCACTTTGAAATATTTCTCGAGTCTGTATTGAGATTCAAAGACAGGCTTTTTTTCTTTTTATAGAGAGATGATTTTTGGTTACTTCATCCAACTATTGTCAAACTACAATCATTGATGTCTAAGATATGAATATCAACAAAATTTGCTCAAAAAACAGCAACTGCAATGAAGTAATGAAAACATTACGTCAAACTGATTATCAAACTGTGACAGCAAAAAAAAAAAACATGAACACTTAATTTAAAACTGGGTTAAGTTTAACTCGACAAATAAGACAATTGATTTTTCATAAAATGATAAAAACCCGTTAACCCGAGCGCTTTAGAAAGGTGGGTCTTTCTTCTTCAGAAGCAAACTGAAATTCCCACTTTGCTCCTGAAGAAGAAAGGTCCATCCTTCAAAAGCACTCGGGTTATAGGGTTTTTATTATTTTATATCAATACATCATAAACCTACGTGTTTTTCTGACATCATGAATTGATTTTTATATTCAGCTTTAAAAAAATATAAATTGTCATTAATGCAACATCAAATAATATATTTAGCTGTTATCATATTGGCTACATAAAATTTTTTAAAAGATACTTTTTAAATGATTATAGGATATTCTAAATCCTTTTCAATATCTATTCATTCCTTTAATTAATTCATTAAGGACAATTTTGAACATATATAAATATATTTATTATTAAATTA